GGATGGCGGCTGCGGCGGGGGCGGCGCCGAGCGGCGGCCCGGTGAGTGGTCTTCTCCCTTCCTCCTGTGCGCTCTCTCTCGCTCTTGGATTCCTCGCCTGCGTTTGGGGGAGATGCTGTTTTTTTTTTCGGGTGATGGGTCGGAGTTTGGTATCTCTCATGCCCGGGCGGCCGAGAGATGCTCTGCTTTGGCGTGCGGACAGGTGTTCCGCTGTTTTCGTTTGGGGAATTTTTGGGGTCGAGCTCTGGGAGGCGAGATGGCGTGGTGGCGGCTCTGATGCGAAAGGCGACAGAGCGATGGATGATGCGAGCTCGCAGGAGCTGCTGCTACTGCCTCTGGGTTTTGGCTGGACTGGAGAGACAGAGAGTGTATGTCCTATTACTCGAGCATAAGCGGATACGGATTTAATTTGGCTTGGAGTAGTAGCTGATTAGTGATTAATACGGCACATGAATGCCAATGGAACTGTTTAGGGGTGGTTACATTTAAGAAAAATGAAGGCATTCAAACGAGGAACTGCTTGTGTGTGCCTCCAATTGGTTTCAGAGATGTGTGAGTTCACCGATTACTTTGCAGGCTGAGGGACGAGGCTTCATTCTTAAGGTGCCTCGTGACTAGATAAGCAAGGATTTGGTGCAGGGGGGATTTAATTTTGGGAACATGTTCAAGAATTTGCTGGAGTTTTTCCTCGTTTCGTTTTCGTGTGCATAGGGGAACAAGCTGCATACATTCATCCGGCTACTTGGATAGCTTCCACCCGTATCACTATGAGAGACGTCTCATGATTCAATTAGCTCATTATGTAATGCATCAGATATGTAGGTTCCTGTTGAGCTGTCACTTTAACAGTGTTACGTTTATCTGGGTAATGAGTACCCGGTTGACTGACTTCTAAGCATTCAAGATACTGTTATTTGTTATCATTAATTCTTTGTACTGTTTCTGACATCAAAATTACCTCATAACCAGGTATTTAAGAGTGGCCCTCTCTTCATATCATCCAAAGGTAAAATTATTTACATCACACATTAGTTAACTATCCTTTTGGGGCCACGATGCTGCTTACCTTATTCTGTTTGAAACAAAGCTACATACACAAGTGTCGACATTAAGCGTTTACATTTGCCTTCCGTACTATTGTTAAAGGTAACAGTAGTGATTTTCTTTCTCTTGTTCTTGAAAAATTATCATCAAGAAGAAATGGATTATATGCAGAGCTAAAACATATATATCTTATTGATGATGATGCTGAAGGTTTCTCTGTATTAGTACAAAATATAATTAAGACGGGGGCTAGACCAAGTCGAGTTGCTTGTATTTTATCGCTCGAGAGAACACGAAAGTCCTGTGCCTTGAATTGATAGAAAGAAGAGTTCATAATTACAGCCTAATCCCCACACAACACTAAACAAGAGCACTAGTGCCCATGGCCAGGATCCGCCGTAACTCTGTCGCACTTGCTGTTACCCAAGACCTTGCTTCCACCTGAATCTGTATGAGCAAGCACACGATATTTGGTTGGTTTCAATTGAGGACACATGCATTCCAATGCTTCCAGATCGACCATGTGGTGAGCTGTTTCATGGTTGCCGTTCCATACCCTTGAACCGTTGGTGCGGAGTTGATTGCCAGCCTCCACCACTCAGAACTGTCGAGTTACTTGTATTCACATAATGAATCTGTTGGTTGAATTGGATTGCAGATTCAAGCCACAGATGGAGGTGCATTCATAATACCATTATGGCACTATAGTTAGCTGTGTTTCCTGTCCATGTGGGAAAGTTCCACATAGGGCCCATTCCCAGTTTCCCCAATACGTTTTCAACATCACAGCCATCCATATCTGTTACAGGCCCAAAGTAAGAGAGGGAGCTATAGGTTCTATATTGTTTGTGACCAAGTTAGAATCTGTGTCGTCGGTTTCCTTTTAAAACCTTTTTTCTTATGAGTTCCCGAGTCTGCCATAAATTTTTAAGTACTTTAGTTGTATCCTGATACCTGGCTATGATTTCAGTTGTAGATCATCAAATTCAAAATTAATACAATTAGCTAATTTTCTACGAGATATTCGGATACCCTAAACCGAATCTTGTATAAGGCAACTCTCATAGTTTAATTCTCATTCTAGTTATTCGATTTGTGCTTAATCCATCTACTATATGGGTTATGGCATGAATTTTGTCAATCTACTATGTAAATATTCTTATCATTAAAAGGAAAATCAGAAGTTTTCCTACTTATACAGTTTTATTTTGCTTTTACCTGAAAATGAATGTTGCTCATATGATTTCCAGGAATTGGATGGAAATCTTGGAAAAAGCGCTGGTTCATCCTCACCCGAACATCGCTGATTTTCTTCAAGAATGACCCTGTTAGTATTTTCATTTTTGTCCATAATGTAGATGTGGATATTATGTATACTGGAAAGCACAAACTAAGCAGATTTATCAGACCAGTTTTTTTTTAATATTCTGCTTCTTGGTCCAATATTTCGGAACACGATCTAGTATAATATCCAGCTAGATGCTTTAATCATATCTCTTGATCACTTTTTTTTAATAGTCTGGTTTGATGTCCTGACATTTATGTGTGTATACTGTATACCAAGATCAATATCTTGTGTGAGTATACACTGTCTTGAATTAAGTGCTGAATTGCAGAATGGTTATTTTGGCTTTGCTGTTTTCAGTTTTCTTTTTGAGCGGAAGTTTTTTTTAGTTCAATCTCAGTGATGTCTTCTCAGCGCTTGCTGCTTGATGTGATTGCAGCTTTATTTCTTTTCTTCTGGTGTTCACCAACTTCTCATGTGGTCCTTTACTTAAAAAGTAAAAAAAATACCGAATTATGTTCAGTACTTGATGCTTAGCTGGCGTGAACCTGATTATTCTTGTTCTTGCCCTACTTAAACCATGAATGCTGTTTAATGGAGCTACTTGCTAGAATATTGTACCGTCCATTCATTGGTCCATCTTATGAGTTAATTCTCACTTCCTTGACATGCTTGTTCTCGACATTGCAGAATTCCTTACCCCAAAGAGGTGGTGAAGTGAACGTTACTTTGGGAGGAATTGACTTAAATAATTCTGGGAGGTATGTGTCATAAAAAATATATTCTTTTGTTGATCTCTTGATGCCTTTTGCAACAACATTGTTGTATTAAATGTTATTCATGGCCAGTGAAAAACGAGTCCTTGTTCTTCCCTTTTTTTGCTTTTTTTCCCAGTGTCATACTAACAGTATTTCCCGTTCACAGTGTAGTGGTTAGGGAAGACAAAAAGTTATTGACCGTCCTATTTCCAGATGGTCGTGATGGTCGTGCTTTTACCTTGAAGGTATATATGTTCCCATTTAACTTGGCAGGTTCACTTCAGCAAATGCAGCTTTATACCTTTTAATGCTTCTTCAAAAGCTAAATAGAAGGACTTGCTACTTTTAACAGGCAGAAACATCTGAAGATTTGCTTGAGTGGAAAACGGCATTGGAAGAAGCTCTTGCACAGGCTCCAAATGCAGCTCTCGTGATTGGACATAATGGGATATTCCGTAATGACACACCAGATGCATACGAAGGAGCAGCTCCAAATTGTTGGTTCCTCACACTATTCTATGACTTACTGTTACTCATGACAAACTCAATCTCTGATTGTTTGTTCATACCTCTCCTCTGACGGCTGCAGGGAGAGAGAAGAGGCCTACCAAATCCTTGGTTGTTGGAAGGCCAATTCTTCTTGCACTAGAAGATATTGATGGCAGCCCTTCTTTTCTAGAAAAAGCTTTGTGTTTTCTTGAGAAACATGGTAAGACTAAAAAGAGTCAACTATCACTAATGTTTGGAACTGTCTGCACTTTGCATTTGGTAGCCGTATGCTGCCTCACAACCAATCTGGAACATCTAACCAGAAATGTGAACATCTTGCAGGGATAAAGGTGGAGGGAATTTTGCGTCAGGCTGCAGATGTGGAGGAGGTTGACAGAAGAATGAATGAATATGAGCAAGGTTTATTTCACTGCATAGTTTGACATTTAGAACAGTCCTGTTTTTAATTGGTGATGCTTTTGGTTTGGTAGTTTTAATGTCATTGTACCTATAGTTCAATTTGGGCATCTGTTTCTGTTTTATTCCAGGAAGGACTGAGTTTGCACCGGATGAGGATGCTCATGTTGTCGGTGACTGTGTAAAGGTACCTTGCTGTGATTCATTTGTGTTGTTTTTTCAAGTATCATTCAATAGTTCATGTTCGCTTGCCAACTATACTCATGTGAACATACACATCTGCAGCATGTTCTGCGTGAGCTACCATCTTCTCCAGTGCCTGCTTCCTGCTGCACAGCATTATTAGAAGCTTTCCGTAAGTGCTCTATTCATGTTAATCTATATAGGTCTTGCAAGAAGATATCTGTTAGGGTGGTTGATAGGTTATATGTTTTTACCATAACTTTAAGAACTATCAATAAATATAAGCAAATTCACTATTTTACATGATATTAGAATAAACATTTGCAGTATGCTAGATACTGCATTTGACCAACATTAAATATTTTTTAAGAATACTTGGAGTATTTACTGCTTTGCACTCATATCCTTGACTGAGTTACCAAGTACTCCCTCCGTTCCTAAATATAAGTCTTTTTAGCGATTTGAATATGGACTACATGCGGATGAATATAGACGTATTTTAGAATGTAGATTCACTCATTTTGCTTCGTATGTAGTCCATATTAGAATCTCTAAAAAGACTTATATTTAGGAATGGAGGGAGTACATCTTCTAAGAAGCATGGAGGCCTTTCTTCTGTGCATCTTTCTATGTCAGGAAAACTATGGATTTGGTTAAGAAAAACGAGACAAATACTAGAGTGGACTAAAAGTATCTAGAAGTAGTCAAACAGATTTGACTTCTGTTTTTTTTCTTCTTTTACTTCTCTCTGTTGGTCCTCATCAGCTATATTGGTGTTGTAGGCTAAGAGCCAACTTTAAATGGTACATTGGACTCATAGGCTAGACAAAAACCAGTAGCATTAAACCTAAACTATTTGAACATCTGACTACACTCTTGGAACATTTGGTACCTTAGCAAGTAGAATGCTCATATCATGGCCATGGATTGAGACTATCTTATCAGAAGTTGCAATTTAATAGAGGTAGTTAATATATGAAATTTCATAATGTTATTTGTTTAAAAAGATGTCTGTAGAAACCTAATGATTAGTATTATCTTAGTTATCTAACGATTAGTGGTAATTCATATTCTGCTCTTTACCATTCTTTTTCACTTCTATCGTCCTTGTTTAGGTCTAGAGAGTAAGGAATCTCGGATAAATTCGATGCGTGCAGCGATGTCTGAGACATTTCCCGAGCCTAATAGGCGGCTGTTACAGAGGTTAGTCTTCTTTTTGGGTTGACAATGTGTAAACAATTTTACCTGCAGGGATATCGTGCCAAGCAGTACTCCCTCTGTCCGGAAATACTTGTCTTAGAAATGGTTGTATCTAGACTTATTTTAGTTATAGATACATCCATTTTATCCATTTCTAGGACAAGTATTTCCGGACGGAGGGAGTACATTCTAAATATAATTCTTTCTATGATCACCACATGGTGAACCTAATAGTTTATGCAACTGGAGCAGAAACATCATTTCCTTGTCAGTAATCAAGTTAATTCTTCAATTAGCTCATATACATGATGTTTGCAGAATTTTGAGGATGATGCACACTGTTGCTTCTCATACTACTGAGAATCGAATGACTCCATCAGCAGTTGCTGCTTGTATGGCTCCTCTCTTGCTGCGTCCACTTCTGGCGGGTGAATGTGAGATGGAAGATGACATAGACATGAGTGATGACAATTCTGCTCAGCTCATAGCTGCTGCAAATGCTGCTAACAATGCTCAATGCATTGTCACAACTCTATTAGAGGAATATGAGAGCATATTTGATGTAAGTTTACCTGATGCTATCCCAGAGTTCATTGCCCTGATGATGCTATTCTAGGCAATTTAGGCTGATGCATTTGCTACTTGTTCTTCCACTTCCCGAGTTACCTTAAAGCTGCTTATCATAATGTTCATCACTTCTACAGGATGAACACCCAAGGTGTTCCCTCTCACCCGATTCTCGAATTCAAGATAGTGGAAGTGAGTCTACAGATGATGAAACTGTGGATGCCAAAGATAATGGATTTCATGATGCAGAGAATGATGTAGATCAAGAATTAGATGAGCGTATACTGAGTGGAAACTTGAGTGAAAGCAGTGCATGTACTGGTGCTGACCTCTATGACTACCAGGTTTGATATGGTTTGCAATTTTGAAGTTTCTAATCTAGAAATTCATGGTTACCAATCATATATTTGCCTTGTATATTTTTAAGATAGCTAATAAAATTGATTTGCTTCCAGTTTTACTGATGATGTATTTTTCTGCACGTTAATAGTGTGGATCAAATTTTGGCTACAATATCATAATCTTACAAAGCTTTTTTCCGGCTCCTTTCTCTGTAGAAAATTCCTACCTAGCCTATCCTCAGTTTATAGTTCATTTTATTAATGTTTGTGGTGTGAAGTTCCGAGTAGTCCAGTCTGAAACTGACTTAATTTTCAATGTTATTCAGCTAGCAACTCTTTTTGTGTCAATATCATTATGTGGTTTTTCCTTTCTTACTCATGTTATTAGTGTGATCAAATTTTGGCTACAATATCATAATCTTATAAAGCTTTTTTCCGGCTCCTTTCCCTGTAAAAAATTCCTACCTAGCCTATCCCCAGTTTATAGTTCATTTTATTAATGTTTGTGGTGTGAAGTTCCGAGTAGTCCAGTCCGAAACTGACTTGATTTTCAATGTTATTCGGCTAGCAACTCTTTTCGTGTCGATATCATTGTGTGGTTTTCCTTTCTTACTCATCTTAATGTGGCACAACAGGTAGACCCTGGTGATTCAGACGCCGAACGTTTTGTCACAGATAAGGCTTTGGAAGCAAAGTCGGATTTAAAGGATGCTCCACACAGCCATTTAAATCAAAATGGGACGATAAATGTCCAGAGATTACCGAATGGAAATGATCCAACAAATCTGGTTTCCAGTCATGAGTCTCCATTGTCAATGGGAGAGATTCTTTCGTCTTTGGATGCAGGAGTTCCTTTACCTGGTCCTGGAGCTGAACATTCTGCAGATAGGCAGTCCAAGTCCAATGAAACTCAGTTACATGTGAAGCGTTCTAATATTTGGGGACGGAGTAATGTAAGCGAGTCGTTACCTTTTGTTGTCTTCCTCTATATGTTTATGCTAGTTCAGTGAATATCATTCCGTTGACTTCCATTGTGTTGTTTTTAAAACTAGTCATGGTTTTGGAATAAATACACTACTCTAGTTACTCTTGAAGAAGCATCTGTAGTTGTCTACTGTAGCTTCTGTTTTGACCTTGTGGATCTAAACATGTGGTTTACACAGGCAAGAAAGAGCCAGCAGTCAGAGTTTGTTGATTCATCGGGTGAAGAAGAGTAAGTTCCCAGTCATTCCAAGTACTAATTCCCTATTGAGAAAGTTGTTGCTATTAATTTAAAAGTTTCTGTGCTATCTTTGTGGCCTGTGCTACCATTGATGGGTGTGGCCATGCTTGTCGCGTAGCTTTTAACTTTCTGTTGGATCACATGTAGTGATATTATCATTGAAGGGTTGATTTTGTACTTAACTATTTCACTATGCAAACGTACCTTTCAGGCTTGCTATCCAAAGACTTGAGATTGCAAAGAATGATCTGCAAATTAGGATTGCGAAAGAGGTAAGGAAGGAACACATATTCTGTAATTGTAGGCCTGTGATGTGGGGATCTTGCAAACTAACTGAAAATTCTTCTCAGACTAGAGGTAATGCAATCTTACAGGCTAGTTTGGAAAGAAGAAAGCAAGCTCTGCATGAGCGCCGTTTGGTGCTGGAACAAGATGTATGCCACATTTTCCCACTATATGAATCAACTACATTTCACACTTGTATGATGGGAATTTACCCATAATTTCCATCTTTTAAACTTGATCTTGTTGCAATTTTTGTTCAACAACATCCCATTAAATAATTATAAAAAATTCTGTAGGATTAAATGACGGCTTGATTCTTTGTTTGATCGCAATTGTTTGTCCCTGTAGGTATCAAGGTTGCAAGAGCAGCTGCAGGCTGAAAGGGATCTTAGAGCTGCATTAGAAGTTGGATTAAGCATGTCTTCTGGACAATTTTCTGGTTCACGTGCTATGGACTCAAAGGTACTGAAATGTGAATCTAGCAGCTGGTCAGCAGTTATCATACTTTCAGTTTTTGGCGGTGTCTAATTTCTTTGCCTTAAGACGAAGGCAGAGCTTGAGGAGATTGCTCTCGCAGAAGCTGATGTTGCAAGGTTAAAGCAGAAGGTTGCAGAGCTGCATGTCCAACTTAGTCAACAGCGCCAACACCAGTACGACTCTCTCGTAGACGAGAATGATCGTTATCAGCATCGTTCAAGTCATCTCCCACAGTAAGACAATGATTGATGTACTCCCTCCGTCCCAAAATAAGTGTCGCTGCTTTAGTACAAAGTTTGTACTAAATCAACGAGACTTATTTTGGGACGGAGGGAGTATTACTCATGATTAATAATTCCGTTCATCTGTCTTTTATGAAGAGCATACGGCATGGTGTAATTGTGCAATACCCCCAAGCTGTTAGTACTCCCTCCGTCCGAAAAAACTTGTCCCAAGCTTGTCCCTCAAATGGATGTATCTAGCACTAACTTGGTGCTACATACATCCATTTGAGGGACAAGCTTTTTCGGACGGAGGGAGTATATCAAATTAGAAGTGAATGTATCAGGTCCAACCCAAGCTGTTAGGGTGTAATTGTGCAATGTGGCTTCTGTCAGGCCAGGGCATCAAATAAACATGAAAAATTCAAAAAGTATAGAAATGTTGGTGTAATCTAGAGCGGGGTTACACATTTTAGAATTTGAACTCGTGTATTAGAAGGGTGAAACTATAGTTTTAACTATAACATGTGCCAGTTTTTTTTCTATTATCCTTTTTATTTCTACTCTTAACGCAAAACGAGTTTGAATTTGAAATTTATACATAGGTAATGTAAACTGAGAAGTACATGGTTTTTTATTTGGGTATTTTCATATTGATTTGGGCCCTCAACTGGTCAGGTACTATTTGAACCCACCCATGAAAGGACGGTCTCAAACTTAGATGTGCAAGCATGAGATTCCCTACTTCTGGATATAGCGGGTTACACTTGCACCTGATACGTTGCCATTAAGCTAATATGTACAATTACTTTTAAATATCAACATATATGCGGTATACTAAATGTCCACCAAGTTTTATGCTTAGTATTTTAGTAACAAAAGCGTGATGTTTATGTAGTAAGGCATAGTATCAGCTTAAAACATATGGTTTGTAAGTTGAATGTGTTCCGTTCTTGAATTATTCTTTCAGATTGTAATATATTAACAATTGCAAATATTTATTGCCACCAGGAGCTTTGTTCAACCAGGGTTTGATACTAAACTTGCTTTCTGTAATCAAGAGAAGAAGCAGAGGAACGAGGTTTGATAAAAACGCCCCTATCAATCTACTACCCTTTAGAAGTCTTCCAACCAGTTAGCTGAATCAAATCCATTATTCATTGCATTTCCATAATACTCTCTCCATTCCTAAACTGCCCCAGTGTCTTATATTTAGGAATGGAGATAGTAGTTTACAGAGCTCAGTTTGTTTTAGTTGTAAAAGGGCAAGCCAACAATGAAAAACTTAACTGGTGTGATGTGAAACTGGTGTTGCACGAGGATCATACTTAGAATTGAAGCCACGTTAACTTTCTGACAGGAGAGCTTGTCGGGCGCATCACACTGGAGAAGTATCAAACAGCACGTGCTGACCCAGGCTTCTTCGAAGCCCTTCTCCCGCAAGCACTCCTTGGATGCCTCTTCGAGCGATTCAAGGGAGACGTCGTCAAGCATGCCAGCGGAGAGCGGTGCAATGTCCGCGAACAATCCAAGAGCAGGGGAGGTAAGAGAAATCATTGCATCTTATGGTCCTACTGTATGGTCTTAACGCAAGCACACCAATCCTTTTCAAGGCAACCAAGGTGTTGAACTCTCTTGTTGTAATGCAGGCTGTCGAGTACGGGAGGCAACCACCCGTGCCGTCGTCCACCCTGGTTGAGCTGACGACCAGACTAGATTTCTTCAAAGAACGGAGGTCGCAGTTGATGGAACAGCTCCACAGTCTTGATTTGGGACATGGATCCGCGCCGCATGGTTTTCAGTACAAGTCTTCGTCCCCTTGGAACAGTCCGAGATAGGAGGTTTTGGTTTCTTCTAGTTCCACGTTTGTATATTCTTTTTAAGGATATTCGCCCCTTCTTTCGTTAGTTGTAGCAGCTGCTAGCGAGAATGTATATTCCTTTTTCTTGTTTACTTTTTGGCTGTGCAGCAACCTCATCCGAGTGTGATTTTGTAATGCTTTTGTAATGTAATGCATGTACGTAACGATTTAAGGGTTTGACACTTGTTTTGAGAGCATCTCTGACAGATGATGCATAAACGCCGCTGCGCCCAGAAAACTGCCATTTAGGGCACTTTGGTCAAAAATCGGTGCTCCAGCAGATGATGTATGTGCATGCAGTGGTGTAATTTCTTTTCCACCATGCCCAAAATATTGCCTCCTCGTGCTGCATATTGGCAGCACCGTTGCGGGCGATTCATCACGCACAACCACATGAAAAAGGGCCGTTTACATCACCTCCTGCTAAAAACACTGCTCCAACAAATGCAGCCAGGAAGAAAAAAAGCTGTTTAAGTCATCGCTTTTACATTGTCTGTTGGATTAACAATCACCGCGATGGTGCAAAAACCTTCTCTCTCGTGTCCTGAAACTAAAATTTTGCACCAACTTATACATCATCCATTGGAAGTCTTCTCTCTGCTGCTCTAAAACTATTTTTTTGCACCAACTTATACATCATCCGCTGGAAATTCTATGTTCGGTCATTTCACCGAATAGGTGGTGGGCGACAACAGTTTCAAGACATACCGAACAAAGTAAAGGGAGGGTTGAGTAGATAGAAGCGTGTGTTGAAGGACAGTCTATCCAGATTGAAGAGAGAAAGGCGACGTGTGTTGAAGGACAGTCTATCCAGATTGAAGAGAGAAAGGCGACGATTATAGAGAGCAGGGAAGAAAGAAGGGAAGTGACCCTGATGGACGGGACCGATGTGCTGTAAGCGGATGTCCGGACTCTCTTACTCCGCTTCACGATTGATCCGATATCGGTCCGAGGCTTTTCAAACGTTCATACACATTTTTTAATTAATTTTATTTTGAGTTGTCAAGATATCAGCTCAATAGTACATGAATCCACCCCGCAAAAAAAAAAAAGAGAGTACATGGATCCGTGTTAGAGACTTTCTTGTAAACTTGGTCAAGGCTGATAGGCCTCCTTAAGTAATGGAATGTTTTTTCCCCGCAAAAAAAAAAGAAAAAAAAATCCGCGTTGGAGACCCACAAGTATCCGAACAATCCGGATATATTAATGTCAGAGCAGGAACCGTTTATTTATTTTCCCCGCCCCTTCTTCTCCTTTTGCCGAGCGAGACGGGAAGACCCAAATCGCATCGTCGGTTGTCTCCGCGCGCCGCACCTCTCCATCTCGTCACGGCCGTCGCCCGTCGCCCTGCCTTCAGTGAGCGTCCAGTGCAGGCTACAGTCAGTTTGCTGTCCTCACTGCGCACCCCCCCGGTTAGGCTACCTCCACCGCCCCTCCAGTCAGCGGCGACCGGCGGCTTCACGCCCAACCGCACCCGCCCGTCCTCAATCACCTCCACCATCGTAGGTGATCCTTCCCGCCGCCTCGACTCCGTCGACCGTCCCCGCCGCCTACGCCACACCTTTGTGTCGGCATCTCCCCCGGCCACCGCGCCGCCACCCCCGCGGGCCGTAAGCACCAAGGTACGTAGCTGGCAAAAGAATTCCACATTTTTAGGGCGTTCCTGATCTGTTCCCTTTTTGGGCTGCAATTTCAAATTTCTGAGTTATGTATTACAGTAGAAGTTTTCATTGATAATAATGCACAAGCTGTTTATTTTAGAGGAAAAAAGGGCACCCAGCCCCGTCTCCAATTGTCACTAAAATGAAACCAAACATTCCACATAGCGCATGAGCACGCCGCTGCAAGTCAAGCTCTGTTTTCAAGCCCCAGGCGCAATCCTGAGCTAGATGCCGTCTTCAGTCAATCTGCGGGAGGATTCCTCCGCATGTTTTGCCTGCCCAACAATGGAGGCTCCCCATCCAGCGGCATCTTCAGAAGCCGGCAATCCTGACAGAGACGAAGGCCTCAACCGACGCCCCATCAGCCTGGATCCGGCCACAGCTGTGGACTTGGGCTCATGGCAAGCGCCCAGAGTGAAGCTGTGATCTCCAGCACGCGCTCCTTTTGCATGTCCAGACTCCAGAGCACAAGATTGCCCACTGAGAGAACATTAATGCTATGCCTCTCAGGATCACCTGCACACCAGCCCATGAACTTCTGTTAAAACAGAGCTCATTCCTATATTTCCACAGACCATAGAGTTGCTGCATGAACTAGGTTAATTGTCTGGTGTTTTGTGTGACTGATCCACCACTTAGTAATGTACCTCAAAGTTCACATTAGTGTTAACCTAGTGCGGGTACTAAGATTTCTCCGCGCCTTAGTGGCAACAGCACAGGCAAAGAATGCGCGCGTACAGGCATCTTCGTTACAGAATAGGCAGGATAAATTGTCAAGATTTTGCCTTTTAGCTAGGTTATCTCTAGTGAGCAACTTATTATGAGGTAAAAGCCAAAGAAAAATATGGATTTTAGGAGGAACATTAAGTTGCCAAACAGCAGGAATATGAACAGGGACGGCCCCCCTCACAACAGCATATAAAGACCGACAGAGTAAATACCATTGGATTCAAGCTTCCATATCACAGCATCGGCATCAGTATTAAGCCGAATAGACTCAGCAATATGAACAAAGTCAAACCACTGGAGGAGCAATCTGTTGTCCACACACCTTCTAAAAGTAATCCTAAGGTTAACACCATCCCATGTATCAGCAATAGTGATGTGGCTATTGTACTAATTACAGAATAATACACGGCCTGTATGTGGCTAGTGTACTAATTTATAGTTTTTTTTTCTAACTTAGGGTCCGTTTCGATTGTTAAAAGTTTGTGTTAATTGAGCTGAAACCTACTGTTCATGGAGTTCAAAGCTCAGCTTCTTTCTCCTCCAACACGAAATCTCAAATTTCATGGTTGAAAGTTCCTATTCTGTCAGCTGGAAGTTGAAATCATGTCATTTCAAAGCTATGGATTCACATAGTTGCATGAGTTTGCTGTTGAAATCTTTTCTTTACTGAGTTGAAAGGTTTTTAAGACAAACAGGCATATGCCCTGCTTTATACTACCTCCGTTTTGAAAACTGACGTGGTTTTAGTTCAAATTTGAACTAAAGCCACGCCAGTTATTTCCGAATGGAGGGAATACTAGAAAGCAAACTTTTTTTTGGGTCTTCTGGGACACCAGGACATTCTTGCTCCTGAAGCAAACGGTAGCAAAAAAAGAAAGCACACAACACCCAACTTAAGAAGGACCAACAAGCACTCCAACTGTCCCACATAAGATAGAGATAAACTCAAAGCTCCCCACAACTCCATACAAGTACTCCCTCCGTCCCAAAATAAGTCTCAACTTTAGTACAACTTGTACTAAAGTTAGGACAAAGTTGAGACACTTATTTTGGGACGGAGGGAGTATCATATAGAGCAGAATCCTAGGCATACCAAGAACACAAACCACTAAGCTGAAAGTTGTCACATGGAGTGTTCTTTTTTTACCCATTGTCTCCTACGGTGGCAGATTGCTGGAGACAGAACAGGATGGAGTGAACAGGGAGCCATCACACCTTTTCCGTTTTTAAGCCTGAACCAGTGAGTTTAAGTGCTTCTGATAAAATCCAAAAGATGTTGGGACTCATTCATTCAAAGTTCACAAATTAGGCTCCCTGTTTCTCACTCCATCGTGTTCTCTGTCCCACGGTGACCTCTTTAGCTCCCTCTATTGTTGTTGTGTTTGAAAGAAGGGTGACGATTTTTCTTGGGCCATGGCTCCTTGTGTGAGAGGCGGTGGAGGAGGCATGAGACCTCTCTGCCTGCCCCATATCATACTCCTGTCCAGGTCACCCTGGAGACATCGATATTTCTCGGTTCAAGTGTGCGTCATGTAAGTTACTATAATATTATGTTGGCTTCACTTTGATGCTACCTCTATAGTTTCTTATCCAGGTTGAAAAATAGCTTTGCGGCAACTCATGAATTTATGGATTGTTCAAGTCCCTTGACCCCACGAGACTTTAGATCTGGAATAAACTGATGCCATGAATGATTTTCTTTGATTTGGGTTTGTTTTTGAAATGAAATTTGTGTGCTACCGCGTGCTGAGATGGAGTTGTCACCTGTATACAATATGTTGCGTTACTGCATGCTATTTCTTCTTCTGCCATTAAACAAATGCGTATGAATGCTTTTTTTTAATGCTATTACATTAGTCGAGTTGGTAATTAAGTAATTTGACAACATGAAAGAATGCTACCTTCTCATCAGCTCCTAGAGTTGCTACAGTAGCCTCCAACCCATCAATGGCTTCCTCCTCACTATTAGAAAAAGGGCTATAGATGAGATTGACACTAATGGCGCACCAGACAAGCGGTGCGCCATTAGTATATACTAATGGCGCACCACCTTCTGATACGCCATTAGAGTTGAAACTACTAATGGCGCACCCTGGGCCAGGTGCGCCATTAATATCAATTTTTTTTTGAACTAGTGCGCCTGTCCAAACATACTAATGGCGCATCCAGACACAGTGCGCCATTACTAGTTGTAACTAGTAATGACGCATGAAAAGTACGCCACTAATGTTGTTTTTTATTATATTTTTTATTCCTTTTTTTGCAAAACTACTAGTAATGGCGCACGGTGGAACAGTGCGCCATTAGTATGTTTTTTTTTGCAAAACTACTAATGGCGCACCACCAGAAGGTGCGCCATTAGCAACCTGGATTACTAATGGCGCATTTAGAGTTGGTGCGCCATTAGTAAGTGGGCAGCAACAAGATATTTTGGACAGCCTCTCCTACCCACACTCACTTTCTCCCCACTTCATTCTCTCCTCCTCCTTGTCTCGGGTGCCTCCTCTTTTTCACCTCATTTCCACCATAGATTCATTCAATTTAAGTGGTTAAATTACCTTGTTTTGATAGGTAAGTAAGTGGGGAA